AGATTATCTTCAATACAATAGGGAAAACAGCCCCCATGAAGGGGTCTAAAGTTAAATTGATGAGTGGCGGTATTGCCATTAGGGATGATGCTAAATTGGTGTGGCCGTACTGAATGAATGGTGTGAGCATAACTTGACATGACTTAAACATGGCTGAAGGGCTGCAGAGGATACTGGGAGCAGGGTCCCTTTAAGCACAAGCAGATTCTGCGTGTGTGATCAATATTGAATCTATTGGTCGGCAAAGATGGGCCCATGCAAAAGTAAATATCACATGTATAAAGTTCCAGCATGGAGCACAGGTTGATCTGGTTATAGTGACCTTACAGCAAGGATACCACACAGAGAGCCAGAGTGAGTGATGAGTGAGTAAATGTGGGGTGATTTTCATTTGGTACCACCCCCCCCAGGCCCTTCTAAAATACTAATCAGGTAAAATTAATAATTACACACCCACTGGGCATGCTTTTAAGACATATGACTCCTTTGAGGAAGAAAAGTATAAGAATCAAGAAAAGCAAATTAGTGTGGTTGGGATTCCTTAATTGACACTTGAAGAAGCAACACTGATAGACAGAGTAGCCAAAACTCTGCTCTGTAGGCTCGAGTAGGACTGTGAACCGGAGGGGTCTCAAGGCAAACAAGGCCTTGCCTCCTGGGAATGTGAGACAGACCAGAGGGCTGAGAAGAACAGACCTTGGGGGAAGAAGCCATCTATAAAATTGGTAACCACCGTCTCTGTTTGCCAAGCAGGAACAGTGTGAGGCTACCGCAGGTCCTCTTTGTGTATGTTTGTGAAAGAGAGATTCGTTAAGAGAAATGTATGGCTCTTAATGTTTAATATAGGAGTTATGTGCTTAATGTAACCCTTTACTGCTGTGCATTGAAGATAATTACTGTGGACCTTTTTCACTAGTATGATAGTAATCTGCTCCACCAGGAGCCAGTAAAGTTCCATTTCAGCGATAGTGGTGCCTGCCTGTTAACAATTTTAAGACTTTGTAGTTTAGCCTTTTACTAAAAGAGGTCATTAAAACTTGAATGGAGACGTATCAATCTATTCTTTGAAGGGTAAACTGGTGGGCTAACAGTGGACAAGTCTGTATTTGATGACACTGAGGCAAGTACTTCCATTGTTGCTGTATAATAATTAAAGAGATGACGGACTGTCCCTTTATGTCTTCTGTGCAGGGGCGGCTCTAGCTTTTTTGCCGCCCCAAGCACGGCAGGGGCAGGCTGCCTTCGGCGGTATGCCTGCGGGAGGTCCCCTGTCCTGGGGATTTGGTGGCATGCCTACGGGAGGTCCGCTGGTTCCGCGGCTTTGGCATACCCGCCGCCAAATCCGCGGGACTGGTGGACTTCCTGCAGGCAAGTCACCGAAGGCTGCCTGACTGCCACCCTCGCAGGGACTGGCAGGGCACCCCCCATGGCTTGCAGCCCCCGGCATGTGCTTGGAGCGGTGGTGCCTGGAGCCTCTTCTGTGCTCCTGTTTCAGCTGTATTTTTCTGTATTAGTTCAGTTTGAGCAGTGTTAGGTGCCTTCAAAATTTGGCATCAGCAATCTGTGTCAACTGGCCCTGGACATGTAAAGTTGACAAGCTTCAGGTGATTAGTTCCCCCCACAGTTAAAATAATAAGCTTTTGGAGCTTAGTAGGCACCTTTATTAGTGAAAGGAATTATCTTTAAAACTTGTCTACTTTACATAATTCTCTTCCTTTTCATCCACTTGAGTCAGATTTACCTTTAAATTTATATATATATATATACACATACACACACACAGTTCCTTCAATAAACTATCAAAATGCTATTCTTCAGTGAGATTTTAGAAGTCTTAATCAGATGAGTATTTTTGTCCAATTAGCTTTTATACCTCACAAAGTGAGCTGCACTTTAGCACTATTCATTCCATGGTTGGATGTTGTGATGCCATGGTATTTTCCTCCAAAACCAGTAGGCCCCCCTGGTATGTTGGGATTGGCCACCGAATAGTAGTCAGTGCAAAAGACAACCAAGGAGTCATTTACGGTCTTGTCTCATCTCCTGCATTAGTGGAAAAGCAAGACCTACAATACGGTGATCTAAGATGTGAGGTAATATTACATTCTGCACCTACTCCTTTGTATGTTGACAGAGACTAGCAGTGTTGATTCAGGGACCCACTTTAGGTATTTCAGTCCCTTTTGGGTGCTATGAAATGCAGAGAATGTTCCAACCATCGTGGGATCTCGCCCAAGCAGCATTATACAATATGTTAAGGAGTGCACCAAGGTTAGGGTAGCTCAAAAGCTGTATTCCATTGCACCCAGTTATGCACCTTCTGTGGATCCTGGTCCATGGGAATGCGCAGGCTAACAATCTTTCTCTCCCTTCCCTCACCCCCAATCATTATTTTGCTTCTGAAAGTTGTTCTTCTTGAATTGTACCGGAGACTTTGCACATACCCCCAAAAACCCAGACAAGCTGCACATTAAGCAAGGGGAGCCCATTGTCTGGCTTGTTGGAAAAGGTATGTGCCCTTTAAGGGCTACAGAGCCAGGCAGTGACTTTCTGCTGCAGCTCAGCCTGGAGATGTGACCTACCCTCATGGGAGCAGGAAGTAGGGCCAGGGAAGAATTATAAGGTCCATGCTAAAGCACAAAAAGCCATATTTTTAACTTGAAGATAATTGGTGAGATTTCACTAATTTGAGGAAGAAAGTTTTAACTCTTGTTAATGCACAGGCAAGCCTAGCACGGCTTTATAAAAGTAACTTTGACAGCTGGAATGAAATTTTGGTAGAACCCTCCCCCTCCAAAAACTAATGTTAAAACAACAACATTTATTTCACTACAAACTAAACAGCTAAAAGGGACCATAATGATCATGTAGTCTTACTTCCTGTGTAACACAGGCCAGAGAACTTCATAAGGAATTCCTTAATCACCAGAACTGGGCATGGTATTCCTTTATGAAATCACTAATGCTGTACACTAATACTACCTCTACTTCCAAGCATCATATTGACTCTTAGGTGTTACATTGCATGTTCTGTTTAGTATCCACTGGGCTTTCCCTTGTCCTCTTTCCTTCCCTTGCCCAAGCCCAGTCAGTACTTTTCAAGACAGTCCTCCACCCTATAAGTGTGCTATACCTTCTTGGTTCCTAGAAGGACCTTGTATTAGGCTGTATTGATTGCATGTTCATAGGAGGCCCTCTTAATCACTCAACTGACCTGTCATCATTTACCACTAGGGGTGACTGAAAGATAGCTACTTTGGGGGCGGGGGGTGGTGGTGGTGCAAAAAGACTGTTTGAGATTCTTTTCCCATATCAGGAGATGAGGCCTTTTCAATTGATCCATTGAACAGTGACCCACTCCAGACCAGCCATAGAATGATAGTTAGGGTACTCAGCATATGGAAGAATGCAAAGCAGGTGTATGAACATGGTTTCCCCCCTCCTCCCCCCATGTCCAAGATGTGTATCCTTAGCACCAGGCTATTGACTACTCTGGGATGTTGGTCTCTCAGTCCTCTCATTTGAGGAGAAGTTTCATTCTGAACCTGAGAAAGCTTTCACTGAACATATCAGTATCATAAAGCTTCATTTTAGTTGACAATTTGATACTGTTTTAGTAGAGGTCTCATGCACCTGTATTTACTACTTCACTCCCCCCCCACCTCCCTCCTATGACTGCAAACTTCATCAGCAATAATTTTAGTTGTCTGTGAGATCATAGATAGAAATATTGACAACTACTGGCCCAACAGATCCCTGTGGAACCTCACTGGATGATTCCCCTTTTACAATTCCTTCATGATAATCTAGCGTTAGGTGTATACTATTGATCAGAGTGTCTCAACACTTAAAGACCATAAGATGGTTGTAATATTAAGTCTTCAGCTGGCAGGGTTATCTCCACTAGTGTGGATTTGGAATGTCACAGAAGACTGCCACCATTCAAAGAAGTGAAATGTAAATATGAATTCTGTATGCATTTAAGTTTGAAATAGTTTTAGCAGACCCACAGTAATTGTATTGAGAAAGGATTACTAGAATTCACTGAAACTCAGGATTCCTTGCTTGTGAGAAACAAATACAAATGTTGACATACTATTTAGCACTGAATTGGACTTTTAAGGTTTCTCCCAGACTGGAAATCCTAACAATCCCCTCAGCCCCAGAAACACTGATATCTGTCAACATGAACCACAGCAAAACCAACAGTTCACTTAGCAACTTCCTGGCCTTCTAGGCTGCAGCTCTGGGACAATCCTGCCATGCAGGCTGCTCCAGGGCTGGGGATCCCAGGGCTTCCAGACAGCACAGGGATGCCCCCACATCAGACACTTTTAGCCCATCCCAGGTCCCCCAGGCTCCTGACTCCACACCAGGAAGCCTGAAAGCCCCAAGAGTCCAGGCTTGGCCCAGAGTTCAGGGCTTCCAGGCTGCCTGCTGCGAGTCTAGATTTTGGAAGCCCTGCATTGACAGGCCTGTTTTGGAGTCAGACCCTAGGAACCCCAGACAGCTGACATAGCAAGGCTGCTGTAGAGGTGTGGACCCTGGTGTCCCTGACCCATGGGCAGTCCTGGTCCAGGTTCACTGGAAGCCCAGACTCTCCAGAAACCCATGAGGCAAGCTGGAAGGGAACCAGGTAGACTTCTAATAGAACCTCCCTGCAATTTGACCAATAGTTTGCTGAACCTGATTTGTTGTCTCAGGGTGTTTGGATCTGACAAACCAGCCAGCTCTAGCTATTACCCTTGTGAACCACTAGATTGGCCACACTACTTGTCTTCCCCCTTTCTAAAAAGCCACCATAGCATTTATTATTTCAATTTTTTATTTTTTCCATTCTCATATTACATAGTCGTTTTGAAAAGCCAACTGGTAAAGCTAGAGTTTGCAGCAGAAAGATCTATTCTTTTTTCCTTTGTGAAAGATAAGGGTTGCAGTCTTGAACATGGTCAGAGTAATCACTCTCTTCATCAGTAGAACCACAATGGACAGCTGGAGCATCAATACCCTGCATTTCTTAAGTAACAAGCCATCTCAAAACATTTCATGTTAACATTTCCTCCATGGATTCCTTCTTTGCCCATTAGCACAACCAAAGTTCTGGCTGTTCGGGAGATTGTAATGTTGAAAGTGGGTTCTCCTTTAATGCTCTTTGTTCTCAGGTCCATGGTGAACTCCCCATCTATCATCAGATTGTCTCTGATCACTGAGCACTTCTGGCCTCCCAGTGTCAGTCCATTGACAAATAGCAGAGAGCGATCCTTCCCCAGTAACACATTCATCTCCACAGGAGAGATGCCTGCAAAAATCTTGCCAGGGACAGCAGCCCACACAGAAGGAACATCCTTGTAACCAACAATGGCAGCATCCTGGCATGTCCCATCAGCCATCAGGTGGTCAATATAGGATTTCCAGCTGGCCATGGCTCTCTTAGGTGTGGGTGAAGAAGTGCTGGCTATCTGAGAAGAAAGATAGTGTCTGTCAGTTTTGCTCACTGTGCTTCTTTAGAGAAAGATCCCCAGGTACTGATCCCACTGTTGTCTTTCCTTATGAAAGCTTCCATTGGGAAGTAAAAATAGTCATGCTTGATCAAGCCAGTGGTCCTTCTAGTCCAGCATCCCATCCATCAGTCAGTACTAGCTATACAGAGGAGGAACCCTGCAATAGACTGTCACTTATGGGATATCTTCCTTTGAAGAGTTTATCCAGACCCTCTAGCCTGTAGAACCACCACCATGCATGTTACTCCTCTCTCTCCTCCTCTCCTTACCTCACATCCAGCTGGTGCTGCTACTCCTTCACTTCTTCCTCCTAAAGAGCCTTAAAGAGACTGTATGCCGCAAATACACTTGTTCAGGCCCCATCTCTGTTATACAGATGACTGTTATGGAGAACTAGGAAGCTGCAATCATACATAGAGCCCCTTTCTGATCCATAGCAGACAGCTGTCAAGACGCTTTGCTGCCTAGTATTCTGACCAGGTCACACCAATCTCAACTGGCTCCCTTTTTCCCATCCCCATCAAATCTGAGCTTGTCTGTTTTCAAAGCCCTTCACAACTGTGCCTTTCCTTACATATGTTGCCTCTATCACATTCTGCAAGTTTTGAAAACCCTTAAGCCCATTCACCTGCTCCCCCAAAAGTTTCCTAGCTCTCTTATTCCTCCTCCCCCTTGAGGAATTTGAAGGAAAGGGTAGGGTTTTTATCCATTCAAAGCCCACTTCTGATGCAATCCCATAAGAAGTTTAACAGTCTAGCCATCAATAGCTGGCATTGACAACAAGTGAGCCACCAAGCGGTAGAAATAGCTACATAATGTAACCAGATGATCATACCTTTATTTCTAGATTGTGGAGGGGGACCTCAAACAAACTGTCCCCTTGTTTGAAAAAAAAAAAAAGTGTGTGTGTGGTGGGGGGAGGGATGTTTCAAGAAAATGTCCTCTATTTAGGCTTAATATTCACTTTGTGCATCCTGTCTCAAGAGGATCTGCTCTCCAAATCAAGAGCTGCATCTTTCTATTTGTATTTGTTCAGCACCCAGCTTAGGGGCTCTATTTAGGATCAGAGCTTTTGTAAGAGAACCACCACCGCCACCATCAGGTTCTAGCCACGTTCTCTCATTTATCATACATTTGAGACACTAAGAACCTTCCAAACTTTTTGGCAGTCTTATACTAAAGACTTTTTGGCAGTCCACTCTACAATCCTTGAAGGATCAAGCAGTACTGAAGGTGGGTGCTATTTAAGATTGTATACAGCAGAGCAATCATTTTTCCTTGGAAAAATGAGTAGAACTTAAGAAATTGACAGCTGCTCCATTTAAGTGGTGGTGCTTTAATTAATAAATAAATAATAATAAAAGACAGGCCCATTTAAAGTAGTTTTCCCATGGGAAGATTATTTTTAGATCTCAGTACCTTAACTCAGCAAGCTGATTAATGAATTAGAGAAGTTCTCAGAAGCAATTTACTGTTCACAAATGTGCAAGAAAAAACAAAATTATAATTAATGTGAATTTTTACAAGACCCTATGGTTAGCTGACTATTCATTTCCTTTAGATAGCGTTACTACAGCTGTGCTATAAAATCAAGGATGGAAATTTGATGCCAGCTTTTAATAAGTGTCTGGGCCAAATCATAACTACTCACATTAACAGTCTAATTCAGAAAAAAAACAACTGTTCAGATACACAATTCTTCATGATGTGTGAAGCTGGGAAGCTCAGATACACTAAAACTTATATAGGGCTGCCCTGGGTAAGCCAATGTAAGACTAAGCTATGTGGTCTCAGGTAAGTATTACATTTAAATGTAATAAGATTCAATCTTAAAATTTATTATTGAAGGTATTCATTGAGTTTTGACAACCCTACCAAGGAGATGTAGAGTATCACAGCTTAATGAGGAACCATCATTAAAAAGTAGGTATGGTATTAGTGCCTTACCTGGTTTTCAGTATTACCAGTTAAAGTTTAAACTTTATCCTGAAACTCATTCAGTTACATAAGCCATTTCTGTCACTGTAAGAACTAAATAGAATCCTGTCAATGTCAATCCCTAAAGCCAGAGCTAGGCGTAAGCAGACTAAGCAATTGCTTAGGGCCCCAAGCAGCTCAAGGGGGGCCCTCTATTCATTTGTTAGAACAACTTGAGTAGGTATTGTTTGAAAAGGAGGAATATTCCTGCTTGGGGCCTCTAATGGGCTAGCACCAGTTCGGTCAGTCCCATCCCACAATAACTCCTACTATTTTTGAACATTATCATGTGCCCTGACCAAAGACAGTCAATCATGTTAAAATAAGTTGTAAAACAAATATCCAGAGACTAGTAAAACATTCATTTGCATCTGTGGAGAGAAGAGTCCATGTGGTTAGGGTTTTTTGGGGGGGGGAGGGACCCAAACTAACTTTTCAGAACTTCCAGAGAACCAAAAGAGAAAAAAACCAAACTCATTCTTTGCCCTGCTCGTCTCAGTAGTTCACCTTGGATTAGGAAATACTTCAATGCTCTTTAGAAGGTTTCAAAGGAGAAGGAGGAATCCTTACCTCCTCTCTAGGGAACATGCAGGATAGGGAGAGGGGGAAGAAAAGAAGACACATTATGTGTGTGTAGGTACATACAAACAGAGGGCACACAAGGCATCTCCAAATGCCCGGGGATGGGAAACCCTCTTCCCTACTACACAAACAAACTTCAAGCTTGTAGCAAGAGGCTCAGGAGTCTTTGATAGTCCCTGCTGAAAATACCTTCAAGTTTTTTTTAAAAATAGATTTACTCTAGACAGTCTCTTCTGATCACATTACTCTGATCACCCTCATTCCCTTCTAGTGAGCCTCACTCCACCTGCCTGCCTTCTTTTCCTACCTCTTTGATCCTGCCCTATCCCCCAGGTCTCCTCTTCCTTCCTCTTTTTATTTAAAGTATCTATTCCTAAACTACATGCACAGCCAGAACAAAAATTATGGCAACATGATTTTTGTAAACCATCACTCTCTACTAGTATATTATCTCCCTGCCTATGCACTATCCTGTAAGCCCCCTAGTAGGGCTCACTGTTTTATGTTTTAGAAACAAGCTAGAGCTACAGCATGTCTCAGCTTTCCAGCCTTGATGACCTCTTGAGGTCCCTTCCAACCCTGATATTCTAAGATTCATGTACATGGTGAGTATGGTTATGTGCAACTCAGCAGTTCCCATATAGGTTCTTTATATTATTTGTCATTAAAAAGGTTTATGAACCGCACAGGATGTTACCAGAAACTACTTGGCTTCTTTACCACTGGTTTGGCCCTTTAAGGTTTTACATCTTTTAGTCTTTTCTCAGACCCATGAGATCTTAAAAAGCAAGTTTTTAGAAGAGCAAAAGCCATGATCAAATGAATCCAGGAACTAGCACTTAAAAAATAATCACTATCCCCCGTGATACCATGAGACACACCAGAGAAGCAGTCTGCTGATTTTACTGTATTTGTAAGTGTCTAATTGATGGCAAGGACCCCCAAGTAGATACCAAAAATGTGTTTTATTCTAAATAAACTAGAAACTACAGATATTTAGAGATGTTACTATAATAAAGTGATTAATAGTCCATAGGGGAAAAAAATTAAAAAGGACTTAACCTGAGAGCAGTTGGTAGCTAATGTGACTTGTATTAGAGGGTTTTTGGTTTTTCTTACCTCTGCACTCTTCCTTTGCTACTAATCAGCAAACTTTCACTTTTCTTTTCCTGATGAATGGTCTTCTGTCTCACACTGGAGTCCTGCTTTAAGAAAAAGTTGTTAAGCTTTATAGAGACTTTTAGAAACAAATGTGCCACTTCCTTTTCCTCACTTATAAGAGTTCTTACCTGTACTAACAGCAGCAAAAAGGATAAAATGCTGCTTGAATTACACCAGAATGCAAGCCTTTTAAAGAGGCTAAGCAGCACAGCTGTTAGGAGGCAGGGTTAACAAGCAGCATATTAGGACTTGATTTGAAGCCAGGGACTATTTAGGAAAGTGTGTTGTTGTTTTTTTCCTTTAAGGGACAATCAGTTGGGAAGAAATCCTCATTAAAAACAACGAACAAACAAAACCAAACAAACTAAGAAATGAAACAAAACAAAATAAATAAAACAAACAAAAAAAGGAAGCTTATACTTCCATGTTCATTTTAGATTTGCAGGATTCACTTTATAGTTAAGGTGTGAACTGAATTTCAATCATAAGCATAATTTTAACTTTCCCTCTAAAATCCACATAAAATATCAGGTTAGCCGCAGAATTACTAAATTTAGATGAGAGGCAGAGGTAGAATTGTTCTACCAATCTGAAGTGAACTAGACAGGTCCTTGAATTATGACAATTTGAAAATATGCATGTCAAAGAGGCTTCAATCTTTTTCTAAAATTTTTGCCACTTCCTACCAATAATAAAATAAAACATAATACTAATAATTAATAATCAATAAATAATACAGTAATCCATGAAAAGGGAAAAAGATAAAACCTATTTCACTGTACTTCTCTAGTGGAGATCTAATATCCTGACCCTTAACTTTATACCACAAATTCTCATTTCAGAAGTTATTAAATGTCCCAGGGAATAGCAGGCCAGGTTACTTATTTTGTAATGGATGGAACATTATGCAGGTATTCTTGGTAATACTATATTTAAGTTTGCATTGAAATTTGCACTTAATGTGAAATTATAATCCCTCTGTTTCACACTTTAATGATTTCAGGGTGTGATGGGTGAATGGGGGTTGAGAGACGGGCAGAGTGTGTGGGGCTTGTGGAGATGAGTGGAAAGAGGCTGAGATAGGATACCTAGGAGATCATGGCTGAGAAGAGGTTTCTGTGCAGGGGGTCTAGGGTGAGTGAGGAGCCAGGCTACAAAGGAAGCCTATGGTTCAGAGATCTCAGTGGTTTTACATTGGGGAA